GTTCCTCAGAAATTAACTATACTAGAGAGGAGCCCAAATTCCTATTCTAATTATTAAGGCCCCTACATTATTTCTGTTTTCTGAAACCCCCAGGTGTACCTCCCCGGCCATCTGCTCAACAACAGCCTGATTTTGTAGCTGGTCCCGAGAAGGCCGTCCACTGGTGGCGAGCAAGGAAAGACATTCCAGAGGCAGATGAGGTCATGGGAAGCAATTACTTGGTGGCTGAGGATCTTGGACAGGAGTCTCGTTGGCAGGGAGGGGAAACAGCCGCCCTCGCAAGGGTACAGGAGTATTTGTGGGATCACGACCGGCTCGCCCTGGATTATGTCGGAGCCACATCGGTGACTGGGTCTTAAACTTTAACAGCTGCATAATTCCTTTAGCATCGTAAAGCCAGCGGTAAGAGGTCCTTGTTATCGTAGCTCAAAAACAGGTCCCTTGACCCTCAACGAGAACACGGGTGAGAAGATGGCATCTTCGCTTCAACATCCCAAACCCAAACCCGATAGTCCCGAAGCAAAAAAAAGCCAGGTGAGAAGCTTATACAGAAGCCCCTTGGATGACGAAGCTACTTCGAAGTTGTCCCCGTGGCTTGCTCACGGATGCCTGTCTCCGAGAGTGCTCTACGAGGAGGTGAAGCGCTATGTATCCGCATACCGACAGAAGTTGCTTTCTACTGCTCGAGGGAAGCAAGAATATACCCATTCGGGTATTGGAATCAGAAACCCGTACCTCAGGGGTACATAGAAATAATTCTTAATCTTTGGCTACTATAAACCCTAAGAAGCAGCTAAAATTATAATTTGTGCTGGGGGTCTAAGTTCAGTATAGGTACAACGTCTCGCACCGCATCGTGCGTGAACTGCTCTGGCGCGACTTTACACGCTTTGGAAGCATCGAGGCAGGAGCCTGGGCTTTGGAGTACCATACTTTAATACCTTTTTAGGGTTTAGGGTTTAGGGTTTGGGGTTTAGGGTTTGGGGTTTAGGGTTTAGGGTTTAGGGTTTAGGGCTTTGGAGTACCATACTTTACTACTTTTTTAGGGTTTAGGGTTTAGGGTTTGGGGTTTAGGGTTTGGGGTTTAGGGTTTAGGGCTTTGGAGTACCATACTTTAATACTTTTTTGGGGACCTGTTCCTTAAAGGGACCATTATGAAATAACAGTCTATACTTTTTTCTCCCTGGTTACTTCAAAGCCCAGGAACCAACATATTCAAGATTGGTGGCCGAGACAAATCGATTGGTCAGAACTACTCTGAGGGCCACAGGGATCCTCAACATCTTCCCTCGTGGCACTGGTCTTCAGATCGAGGTTTGCTGCAAGCTTGGATTGATGGTCGTATCTTAGAAAGGGTTGGAAACAATTTTTGGCTTTCTGGGTACTGTGATCCCTTAAGGAGCTGCTAAGACTCTAGTCGTTGCGAGGGTCGCAAGTTCATCATAGGTACAGGTTTCCCATTTATCGACAGCTCCATGCGAGAACTGAAAGCGACGGGCTATTGCAAGCACATCGGCCGCTTGTGCACTGGATGGTTTCTCATCTCTGACTTAGGAATCGACTGGCGGATGGGAGGAGAGTGGTACGAGTCCATACTTGTAGACTATGAACCAGCTTTAAACTGGTTCAACTGGGTTTATGGTTGCCTGGAACCTATCAACCCTCATAAAGCCCAATCGCGAGGGCAGCAACAATGCCGGGAAATATTGGAGGCCGGAATTGTGCATGACCCCGATGCCGCTTACATCAAGCGATGGATTCCGGAGCTGTCCCAGCTACCGCCGCTTCTCGCACGGGAGCCATGGCGTCTAAATCCAGAGGGCATCCGATGGGCATCAAAGTCGACAAGCCTCCGAAAGATGCCTTTTTTACGGGGCTTCCAGGCTCCACCTGCGGTGGAGCAAGGTGGAAAAAGGCCAGAAGGATATGTGGATCACTCTGGTGACACTTCCTTCCCAGGCCTTCAGCTGTGGCGAAAGCTGGCCTCATTTCTTCTTCCAAAGTTGACTGGGCTCTTCCCCGCTCGTCTTTTTCCAAGAGCTGGAGCGTCGCCGCGGTCATTTCGCTACGGCGTGGACTACCCTAAGCCTGTTATCCAGCCCATTTCATTGATGGATGCACAGAGGGCAGAGGCAAAGGTTCGCGCTGCTCGGGCCATTTCCAAGCAGCAACGAGACGAGGAAGTGGCGTGGTTGAAAACAAGACGAAATAGCATCTCACCGTCTAACTGGACATATGCATGCAGGTAGGCAGGAAGGAAGGTAGGCAGGTAGGAAGGTAGGAAGGTAGGAAGGTAGGAAGGTAGGAAGGTAGGAAGGTAGGAGGGAAGGTAGGTGGGTAGGTAGGTAGGTAGGTAGGTTGGTAGGTAGGTAGATAGGTAGGTAGGTAGGTAGGTAGGTAGGAGATCCTTGCACCCTGCATGACTAAAGCACCACGCATTTAAGGTTGCAGATTTCGCGACAAGCCGATAAGAAGAACGTTAACAGCCGAGACCGGTAGCGTCCTCTGGTGCAGCTTGCCCACATGTTCCGGCTCGTAGCATTGCCCTGCAGGTAGGGTCCCCCCCCCTTCCCCACCTAGATTCCTCCAGCCCTTGCAGAGGGACCGTGACAGTATGCAGGTCTCCCAACATCAGAAAACATGAGGTTGTGGAACGAAGCACGTCAGATATCACATCAATAGCTTCTCTCGGGAGACATGCCTCGCAGCTCTCAGTAACCCGCAGTATGACCACGAGCCTGCAGAGATCCAGCCATAGAGCCCTAAAGCCGAAAACCCTTACACCCCACAAGCCCAAAGCCCAAAGCAACCCCTAAGCCCGAAGCCCTAAACCCTAAACCCCTAAACCCTAAACCCTTGAACCGTAAACCCCACACCCTAAACCCTGAACCCTAAAACCCTAAAGCCCCATAAACCCTAAACCTTAAAGCCCCATAAACCCTACAGTAAGCCCTAGACACCTAACCCCTAAAGCCCCAAAAACCCAAAGCCCTCAACACCCTTCA